GCTCTAAAAAAAAATGTAAATGCGTTAATACATATTTAGATATTGGCTTTTGTTATCAATTTCCGCCAGATTTAAAAGGAAATAAAAATGTCGTTAGTTTAAAAAAAAATAAATAAATTTAAGAACACTCATTAATATACAGGGTGGTCCGAAAGTTTTGTCACCCCTACCAAAAAATTAATGAGAACAATAGAGGAACAAGTAATACAGCAATACAAAGCATATATACTGGATTTAGTTTATTCACTTTCATTGACGCTGTCGCACTGTAAGAGTTCGTGTCAGCATTCTGAAATAGAAAATTATATTATGTAGGGGCGACAAGACTTTCGGACCACCCTGTACATCAGGCTATCTGAAAAGTCTCGGTAAATTATGGAAGACGCTAAGTGAAGTAATTTAATATCTAATAAACGAAATTGAGTAAATGATGTTGTTATTGGATTTTTTTTTTATAATGTAATTATTATCTATATTATTTTAGTTTGAGATTTATTTACGTATTATATTTTTCAAATAATAGAAGGTTATGAGTTTAAATGTTTTTTAAATTTTTCTGGGTATAAACATTTGTAAATTAAAATGCTTCCATTTGCCTTGATAAAATCCCTCAGAGGACGAAATGCGTCGGCTAAGATAAGTTTTCCTTTTTCCTTTATTCATACTGTCCTTTTACAGATACATTTTTAGTTATATCTGAATTTTTACATATATGTACACATTAATTAATATATAAAGATTTATTTTTTCCCCCTGATGATTGTGTTATCGCATGAAACTCTGAGTAGCGGATTTTGATATTATTTTATTAATAATATTATTATAACATGCATATATACAGACACACACACATATATATATATATATATATAATTATATATATATATTATACTATATTAATATTAAATATACAGTTTTCCTCACCTGTAGTACAACACTTAGTTCCGCGCACAACGCAGTCGTCAGGTGCTGATTGAAAAATCTTTATTAACACTAGCACGCAGTGTAAAATATCTTATATATATATATATATATATATATATATATATATATATATATTGTTACATACGGACAAAATAATTACTCACAACAAAGATGCATTTTTGCTTCGATGCAGAAGCATCTCGACGGGTGAGGAGCAAAAATGGTTATGAACGATTCTATTTAAAAATGCCGCCAATAGAACATCACTTTCTTTTTCTCATTATTCAAATTGTTTTTGAAAAAAAAAACAAGGAATATTGTTTTGTTCGTATTTATAATAACAATTCATAATAAATAATTGTTGCTCTACTCTTGGTATTGATCCCTCTTTTAAAATAATGGCGTGACGGTTTGAATGTATATTCTTTTCGTTCTCATTACATTTGGAGTGCTCAATATCAGAGATAGAGCGTGTAATATAAAAATAGAAGTCAACACTTAGAGGCGACAGTTCTGTTTCATGCTAGATGCAAGGTCTGACGATTGCATCTAGCATGAAACAGTGTTGACTTCTATGTTCACTTTTTATATATATATATATATATATATATATATATATATATATATATACAGAATATATTTTTCATCACTTGAAATATGATGTTTTTAAGGTAAACAGTTTTTGTCCATTTTTTGGTGATTATACAGTTCAGCATCATGGCACTTCAACGTGGTTTGTCTCGCTAGATTACTTTTTACTAAGTAGTGAGTTAGATACTTACTGTGTGCTCCACATTTCTGGCCTTGTGTCACATCTAAGATAGGCTTAGAAATCAACTGGGCCCTTCGACGTGATATAATGGTTAGGAAGTTTGTCTTACTAGATCAATTACTACTGAATAGTGTGTCCGATTCTCAGTGGGTCCCCCCTCCTTTTGGCCTTGTGCCACTACTAAACCACGCTTAGTAAATCTCTATAGTGTTCAGCATCAAGAAATAGAGGATTAATAGTAATAAAGAAATTAATATAATAAACATACTTTTATTTAATACTACAATATGTGTGTGTTTATGTATGCCTGTGTGAGTGCTTATATATATTTATATATACATAAAATAAAAAAGTACTTCTCTGCGTGTGTTTTTGGCTGTCTCTGTGTGTGCGTCTGTGTGTGTGTTTGTGTATGTGTGTGCGTGCACGCTCGTCAATTATCTATATATTAGTGATTGGACATCTTCAGTTTTTTATTCTTATATATGAATTATGGGAACAAAAAGGACACTTTTACTTAGCATCTGAAAGAGACATTTGAAATTTGTAGGGCACATAATGAGGAAAGCGGGCGTGGAAAATCTGACACTCACAGGACATACTGAAGGCAAGAGAAAAACGGCGAATAACCTACCTGAAGAGCTTGTGTAAATGGGATGAGGAGAGACAGCAAAAACACAAACTTTAATAAGAGCTACAAAGGATAGGAAATTGTGGAGAGTCATGATCCTACACGCCCTGAAAGGACACGGCACATAGAAGTTTGTGTCGCTTGTGAATAAAATGAAATTAATAAGAGAAAGGGAGAAAGATAGAGAAATAAATCAATGTTTGTAGTCTAATGATAAAAATGTATATTTTGTACAAAAAATATGTATTTTTCGAAATAATTTCCTTTACACTTAATACAATAGTGAATATGAACCGCATAGATCGACTGTGAAAATACAGTGAAAATTTACGATCAAAATTCTGTTAATAATTGTGTGTCACGATACAGACTTATAGATGCAACTATGTCCCTCCACCTCTTTACACACACACACACACACACACATATATATATATATATATATATATATATATATATATATATATATATATATATATATATATATATATATATATATATATATATATATATATATATATATATATATATATATATAAATTTATGCATACGACACTCTTTCACCTGTATAGGTATGCATTAACAGATCTACATTCAATCATTTGTGATACCTTCGATATCATTTTTTTGTAGACATGAAGTCTTCCGCCATGATGCTGTCATCATATATCGGAATGTCGCTACGATTTATGAGTGCACATTGTAGTAACTTATTTTATAGAGGAAGAAGAAATTTGATTTTAATAATTTTACAACATCTTTTTGTTTAATATTTTCATAAAAAAAAAATTGAAATTCAAGATATATGTGTGTATCTGTGTATTTGTGTCTCTGTGTGTGTACTATAGACATATGTGTGTGTGGGGGCGCTGAAAAGTTCTCGGTGGAACCCATTTACTTACCATGATATCGCCATATAACCAAACAAAATTAAAATCTTTTTTTGTTTTTGGTGGGGTGGGAGCTCCTTGTACCAGCCGAGAACTTTTTATCACCTTCTCGTATTGTAAATACCTCCAAATCTCTCTCTCATTCTCTCTCTCTCTCTCACGTACATACACACACACTAGCGCGCGCACACACACGGCTACCAGCGCGGGGCGCACAAACATACGCACACACAAATATATTTGTAGATATACGCATCGTGCATATGTATGCTTATATATCTATGTATGCTTGAGTCTATAACTATGCGCACACACACAAACACGCACGTATACGTATATATATATATATATATGGAGAGATTTTAACTTAATAGTAATACATATGTATGTATGTATATTTGCTAATTCTATCACTTTAAAACGTTATTTTTAGTGGATAACTATATTTGAATAGACATTCAGTTCATTTATTAAATGGTATATTTATTTATTTTTGCCTGTCGTCTTGGATATTCGAGAAAACTTAATAAAGAAAAATATGTTCTCCCCAGCAGGACTCGAACCTCTTTGCAGGAGAAACTTTCGTTAGACGCGACGTGCTTTGAAGAGTGCATATTTTTTTTTAGTAAGATTTATCGTATATTGAAGCCGGTAGACGAAAATAAATAAATATACTCAACTGTTTAATAAATAAATGGGCGTCTACTCAAATACGAGTATCCACTAAAAATAACGTTTACAAAGTCGGATTAATAAAAAAAAATCCATTACTTCTTTAGAAATATATCTGCTAATATAAATATAGATGTCTGTATTTGTTTTGATCTATCTATCTATCTATCTATCTATCTATCTATCTATCTATCTATTCCTAAAAGCATTTCGCATTTATTTATATTTGTGTAAGCATATATCCGGAGGTGCACCAGCGGTAGGTTTTTGGTTTGACATGAAGGTGAATTTTGATCTGTAATTTTCACTGTATAACGTTCGATCCATGTGATTAGTATTTACCACCGAATTAAGTGCATTAACATTAAATGCAAATAATGCTAGCAAATAAATATTTGCTATGTAGTAAAATAAATGTTTTTTTTTTCTTATCCCTTTTTTGTTCTAAGTCATTATGCTGCCTATGTTATGTGTGTACACCTTATCACAAACACACGTACACATAATCATATCAAGTAGTCATCATGTAAATATATGACCTTAAAAGACATCTTTATCCGTTTCTCGTTCAGCGCACGCACAAGCGTCTCTCCGCCACCCCCACTGTCTTTCAGCTGATGCTGCTTGTCTTTTAATCATGACTGAAAATTGATATCTACATGTTTCCTAAGACTTGTAGTTTAACATGTATTAGTTAATATTTAAATGTGTCGTGATAATTTATTAGTGTCCATGTATGTGCATCTTGCATTTTTGTCGAGGTATGTAAACACGTGTGTATGCGTGTCTTACATACGTATTAGTTTGATTTAAACACCAAAGGCATTGAAGCTTATTGTTTATTTTTTTATACATTTATTTTTTATTTTTACATATTTTTTTTTTATTCTGGCACACACTTTAAAGCCTTAGGACAGGACCACATAAAGTGAATCAGATGCGGTTTCGATAGGAAGTTTATTTATGTTTTTTTTTTTTTTTTAGTCGGATTTCTAGCTCGAACGGAGTCCAAAATAGACTGTCTTACAAAGTTAAAGAGGTCCAATGAGTGGACAATGATATCAACGCCAAGTGGCGAGAGTCTGTTGCATGCTTGAACGCGACCTTCAGG